TTCTACTTAGATATTTATACCCTGAACCCATTGAAGATGGGTAAACAGGGTATAATGTATTTGTGCAAATGTATGTAACAGGCAGAAGAAAGCATCTCCGAACCCATAAAGTATATGTATATATTCTTGATCAGCATCAAAAGCCGAGTCGATCTAGCCATGTCCGTCTGTCTGTCCGTCCGTCCGTCTGTCCGTATGTATGAACGCAAGGAGCTCAGAACCTATAAGAGTTAGAGACTTGAAATTTTAGCTGTAGGTCCTTCTAGTGCGCGCGCAGATCGAGTTTGCTTCCGATATTCGATAACTTGCTCCGTTTCCAAGTAATCGATGAAAAACGATATCGAAATCCTATTGAGCAATTTCGGTAAATGATATGAGCTAGAGTCACCAAACTTGACATGTAGCTTTTACAATAGTATATATATCAAGTATCTTTCATTTTATACCTATCGCCACCTCCCCGCTACCACCATCAAACCATAAATCAAGTTGATAATCCAACTTGTATTGCCCATCAATTTAAACCACAATTTTTACGCAATTGACTTGTTGAGAATACACAAATATTCTATGGCACAATAAGAAGTACTATCGAAAATTTCATTAAGAGCGGTTAAGAAACACAAAAGTTAAGTGCGCACGTGTTAGCACCAGCTAGCGCAAATTCCAAGAATTTCTGTATACACGTACACATACACACATCTATGCGCGTCTGCTTTGAATTCTATCATCAGCATTGCAATTGCGATTGTATTGTTTTCTGTGCTGCTATTTTAATTGGTTTTTTTCTCATTAAAATAAATTATTGGTGTGGCTGTTGAGTAGAGGCGGCGGCAAGTAGTGCAGTTTGTAGCGAGTTCGAACCCTACCGACGAAATTAGTCTTTATTTTTGCTGCATTTGGTGTTGGAATAAGAGGGTTCAGTGTATCGTCTAGTCGGGATTTCCCGACTAGAACCTCTTACTTGTTTACTGTGTCGATGTTACTACGTAAGAGTTTCAGAAGCTGTACACGACGAAGCCGAACACGTCAATTGAACTCAAGGTGGTCAACGTTAGTTACACTCGGCTGCGCAAGCGCCGACGAATGTTGCCATAGAAAACAACTTCGTAATACTCGTTAACAGACAGATCAAATAATAATACATGCTACCCGCCAAGTTTATTAAGACACACCGATTTTTCAAAATTGCCATGCCCTCTGTGGACGTAGGCTACGTATTTGTGAATCGATCTTTCAAGGAGCTGTTCAGCAATCTTTAATCCAATTTAATCACTTAAGCCTTAACAGTGTGCAACATATAGATGTTCGCTATTCGCGATATATATATATATATATATATATATATATATATATATATATTTCAAGTCTCTATTATCAAAAGCGCCAGCAAGACGAACATTTCACGAAAGCAATATACTCTTTTCAGTTTTTGATTAAATACAGAAAAACACTTAGCCTTGATTTTTATAGCGCCTAAAGTCAAAATTCGACGAGACTTGGTGACTCAATAGACAATGACTTGAACAGCGTTAAATATGCCGAGGTCAGTGAGTTTTGAATGTTTGTTTTGCTTCTATTTTTTAACTTGGCCACAACGATTTGGGTTCAACGAATCGAGGCAAAAAATATCGAAAACTATACCAAAATTAACTGACCAAAATAATTTGGTCAATTTAGATTTGTTGACATATCTCCTTGACGCTTTTCAGTTGAAATTGCTTGTATTAATAAATAAATAAATATTGTGTGAATAGACTTTGATTGGTGGTAATTTGGTGAGACGGCTTAAAATATTTCTTCACGTTTTTCTAAGGTCTTTTAAACATAAAAATTGCGTTGACTTGATCTTTCGTTTGTTAAAATTGAAACATACGCCTAGGTATTGTATCTCAAACCGCTTACAAAACAATAACGAGTGCTCTAGTCGGGTGTGCCCGACAAGGAGATACTTTGAACCAAACACCAAGCTGGAGTTACAAACATTCTTTTTGTATAGAAGTCTTGTTTTTTGTTTATTGTATTGAATCAAAAATAGTGCGGAAAAATTGCGAAACACGATTGTATGCAACTTTTTTGTCTAACATCATATCGGCCTTAAACTCATTTTAAAAGATCTTTGTTCGAATTCATTTGAGCGGTGTTTCACGCTTTTCAGAAAATGAAATATTTGATGGGTGAAGTTGCGCGTTCAAATTCATTTCCAAAGATCTTTACGAAAAATCACTTGAGACGTGTCTCACACAAATGTGGGCCTACTCGATGGAAAATGCGGGTCAATGATTTTTTGGGCAAAAATTTAAGTTTTGTCTGATTTGCTTTAAACTTATTTTCAAATCCCTACATATGAACTTAATTAATACGTTTTTCAGCGATTTTGGTAATTCCACCCGCAACTGTGGAAATTTGGCGAAAAAATAGCAACTATTTTAGTTATTATTCAAAATTTATTTGATAATTTTTCAATAAGTTTACCACTCTATGATGGAAAACATGAATGGTTTAATAAAAAAAAGATTTCTTCAAGATTCTCACTACAAGACTAGCATGGGCGGAAACCGTTGATTCCAGCAATTGGTTGTTTATTCGATGCATATTTATTATGAACATATTTTGAAACAGAAGTGGAGATCAAGATGGTACGGATAGATTTCAATCGTCCACCTGCGTGGAATGGTAATGTCTAAAATTTGTAGCACCAAACTTTCACGGGCATGGCCGGGCAATAGCCGTTAGTTTGTAATAATTATGTGAGAAACGGAGAGAGGCTTCTTAAGCGAAGTCTTAATGTTCGCCTGATTAAATATTTGTAAAATATAACTTGAGGCGTAGATTTCAATATAGGGTACGTTTAAATTTTTCATGGGCAGGAAATGGGTAAAAAATTTATGTATAAAATTTGAAGTACAAACTTGGAACGGGTAAGGGAAATACCCACTTGTATATAATATTCGTATTAATCTAAAGAATATTTTAAGAGCTGTTTAAATTGAAATGGTTTTAAGCATTAGCGGGATACTGGTAGCTTTATTTATATTATTACATATTTAATTATATTTTGTAATAATTAATTATGATGATTTTGAGTAGCTATTATTATTAGTACACATTTCATTTTTGGGTAATCGAAGTCACATATAGGAAAATATATTTCGCTTCAAGTAAATCAACTTATATCGAGCACATTCGCATTAACACTAACACACCTATCTATCCATCTAGTGGAGTGTGCTCGACTGCAAAGTTCCCTGTGCATATCACTCTATTTTTACTGCTGCGCCAAACTATTGGAAATTTAGATTCACTACTTCTATGTTTGTTTTAGGATCTTCGTGAAATTTAAAAGTGCTAAAATACGGGATTCGAATGTGTGTATATACCAAATCACAAAGCTCTTACTTTTGCGACAATTGGGGAGGCATCACAAGAGCTACATATTCCAAGTTTAAAAATCGATTTTTACTAATAATTTGAAAACGACAGGAGACATTGAGAAAATATGTGATAAGCGCGATCTGCGTATCTATTAAAATATATATTTAAAGTTTATAGCTAATACAGACGAATATGGCTAGAATATATATTTTTTATGTGGTCGGAGGTTCCTCTTTCTGCCCGTTGCATGCATTTGCACAAAACCATTAAACCCTTTTGAAAATTATCAATGGGTACTGGGCACTTTTAATGTAACTTACAATAAAATGTGCAGAGCTTAATAAAAACAAAAAAAATTAAATGTAACCAAAAACTTATTCAAAATTTCGCCAAGCAACTAGCATGGAAATGTTTTGGATTACTTGACTCACACGCACGCAAAAGAGAAGTAAACTAAGCTTCATGCATGCAAATATAAATAATAAACCGATAATCCAAATCCGAACGCCAACGTCGTCCGAACCGGACTTCATACTGTGGAACCAGATTTATGGGTGCACATCATTTACAAACTTAAAAAATCATTTACCTGTTAATACATTTTAAAATGTGAATATGCAAATAGCTTAAGTTGCTTACAAAATTCAAATGTCTCATTAGCGCTACGAAGTAAAATTAGTTTTCCGATCATTGAAAACAGTTAAAGACCTTCTCCTCCTTTATCGTACAAAACTCATTTATATGTAATATGTATATTATTTAATATAGACGGACATTTCACAAATATATACTAAAAAAAAAAAAAATCACTTTTTGAACAAATTAAAAACTGTTAACCTTGATTTTTATAGCGCCAAAAGTCAAAATTCGACGAGACTTGGTGACTCAATAGACAATGACTTGAACAGCGTTAAATATGCCGAGGTCAGTGAGTTTTGAATGTTTGTTTTGCTTCTATTTTTTAAGTTGGCCACAACAACGACTTGGGTTCAACGAATCGAGGTAACAAACATCGAAAACTATACCAAAATGAGCTTACCAAAATAATTTGGTCGATTCAGCTTTGCTTAATTATATCTTTGATGCTTTCCAATTGCAATTGCTTCTATTATAATTTATTAATATTTTGTAATATAAAGATTATTATATTATATTAGGTTTTTCGACTTCAAGTTGACACGGAAAATGTTGATTTAAGCTTTTGATTCTGTATACGATAAAATATAACTTGAGACGTGGATTTCAATATAGTTTGGATATTTTAAGATTTTTAACGTGCAGGAAAAGGGTTAAATAATGACCGCACAAAGCCGGGAAACACCAACTGGTATATAATATTCGCAACAATGTATATAACTTTTTAAAAGCAGGGAAAATTGAAATGCTTTTAATCTTTGGCGGGTTGTTTTTAGCTTTTATTACGTATTTGAGTATCATAACGATAATTATCTATAATAATTATTAGTGCACATTCCATGTTTGGGTAAACGAAGTCATATCTTGAGATATGTATTTTGCATTTGTGTAATCTACTAAAGTCGAACACATTCGCACTTGCACAAACACACACCAAAACAAAAAGCAAACAATAATGTAACTCAAAATTACACAAGAAATAAACTCACTTGCTTTCACTCGGCCCACTCAAAAAATGTGCAAGATTTAACAAAACCAACAATTTAAATGTAACCGAAAACGAATTAAAGCCCGCACCGAGCTGCAAGCATAAAAATGTTTTGGATTACTTGATTTAAACGCACGCAAAAGAGAACTAAACGGCAACGAAAACCAAAATTGTTTAAGCTTTATGCATACAAATATAAATAATAAAAATGAATAGTCCAAAGCCGAACGGCAACATCGTCCGAACCGGACTGCGGACAGTGGAACCAGATTTATGGGTGCACATCACTAACTTTAAATACTTGAAAATGTCTCGTGTGTTGATAACAATATTCAAATGTCTAAATTGCACTGAGAGATAAAATGTGCTCTCCGAAAGTCGAAAAGCATTTGAATATTTTATATATTATAAAATATTATTCAGATTTTTACAAAACAAGAACAATTTTTTATTTTATTAGTTAAATATTAACTTGGTGCTCATAATGGCATTATATATATTGTACAAAAATAGAATAAAAAATATAAAAAAGTATCTTTCTTTGTTTAGAATAAAGTATTTTATTCGCTTATTTTATATTATATTATTTATATTCTTTTTTAAGTTAGGCATGGAGGATGTGTTAAGAACTGTTTATTCCAGTAAATCAGGTTTCGACCTATTTAAGAAAATAATCTCTATTTTTTGCTTTCCAAGCATTTTGCACTAATAGATTCATATTAAATGTATCATCTACATTATTTACGTAATATTGTTAAAATACAAGAAAAAATAAAAAATGTTTATCCGATTGATGAAAATGCTTTAAGATTGAGCAATAACTTTATGTTTTGTAATAAAAAATGCACTTCTTAATTTTAATAATAAATGGCAAATTCGTTATGCTTATGTATCATATCAAAACAGAATTATGTACCCACCTGCGAGTTAATTGTGAGCCTTCTAGTGTATAACCACTGTGCGAAGTCAGTGCCGATGAAGACGACGATGTCGTCTTCGGGCTATTCAAAGTGCAGCAAAGCGCTAGCAGCAGTTGGCTAAACAGCGACTGCGCAGCTGCACCGCGTCGCACCGCGTCGCACCGCGTCGCACCGCGTCGCACCGCGTCGCACCGCGTCGCACCGCGTCGCACCGCGTCGCACCGCGTCGCACCGCGCCTCCTAACCACTAGTGCGATTGCTGTAAAGAAAGTGCTGTAAACGGCGCCAGCTCCAAAAAATGCGACTTTGCCAGCGCGAGAGCAGGTTTCGTTTTTTTTTTTTTTATTTTTGTGATTTTATGTCTTGCATAAGACCAGCCGGCGAGTAATAATAAAGTACCTGCACATGCACATATATACAAATACAGATTTGAGGTAATGTTACATGTACATACAAATATGCGAGCACATGTTCATAAGTATACGTACACTAGTGTTATGTGTGGAAAATATAAACCGGGTGAACTACATTTTCACGTCTGCGACGTTTAGTCATTCATTGAGGCTTATGATCAGTGTAGACGGAAGGTCGCAAATGCCATTTGAGGTCAATAATTTGGTGCTACAGAATAGTATACACTGCAAAATGCCTGATTTTTACCCATATATTTTAAATGTTAAACTTGAGACATCAGTTTTTCAAACAAATGTTCGTCAGGTGGAGCACGTATTGCGATTGTTGGAAACGATCGCCATTAAACTCATTTGCAAATATCTTTATGAAATTGTTTTCAGATGTGTTCCACACTTTTTGAAAACCCCAGCCCTTCTTTCGGGAAATACGCATTAAAGGTTGTATGTAAAAAGATTTAAGTATCATCGGCTTGGATTCACAATTGTTTTTTAAAACGATTCTGAAAATTCTATGTGGAAATGTGACGGAAAACAAATCGGTTTGTACCTCATTTTACCTCATAACTAAAGACAGACAGAAGAAATAAGCTTGTTATATACCTACATACCAGCTCGCATTCTATAGGTATGGCAACATACATATTTCCATCGACATATCTCCACCTATTACATTGTGCCGTCAGAATTATGTCGCTTATTTTCTTGCCAAAGTTTGTAGTTTAGTTTGCCCTTTCGGCGGAACTCATTCAGCTTCCCCTTAGGAGATTAATTTTCTTTAAAAACCATTTGAGTTTTTATAGCCATGTCAAGGCTATTATAATTTTTATCACGAAATGTGCAAAGTATAGAAGACATCTCTGACCGCACAGGTTAGGTAAGGCTAGTGCGGTTGGCGAGAGCAATTTTCCGTCGACTCATTTAGACGAAAATTTGAGGCCTATCTAACCGGTATAACACTGTGAAGTGTTTTCTACAGGATTGGCCAAGGTTTTTGGACGATTTTGCAAGTGTCAGTGGCCTGCTGCCATCTGGTAGTGTCCACAAGCTAAAATTTTCTACGTTGTCCCCAGCCTCGCCTGTTTCTTTGCTCGGGAATTGCCATCCATGTTCCTCTGTCCGTGGACCCATACGATGTAAACTGAAAGCTGCTTGGTCAGATATTGAGCTAGAAGATATCGAGATATATTTTATGTATATAAAAGTAGACTTGGACTTCATAATAGAACCGTCATAAAGATCCGTCCGTATATTTTCTGAGGGGCTCTGAGAGATTAATATTCCATTCCTAGCAAGATGCTCTCGCAGGCTACGGTAGTCTGTGGCTGGGGGATGAGGGAACTGGCCTTAAGTAAGTTAAAGTAATCAAAACTGCGAGTGGTCTATTATTTCGCGTTTACCATGCGAAGCGGTGAGAAGTAGCAGTCACTTTCGTCATAAGGTCGATGGGGAAGATATGGTTTATGGTATCCGGGGCATAGTTGGGTGTCGTTCGTAGGGCACCCCTGATGAGTAGCTCGGCAGAAGGCAGAACTCCGGCCTCGTAATAAAGAATTTATCTTGATCAGTATCAAAAGACAATTCAATAGGAGCATGGTCGTCTATCTGTTTCTATGTAATCTGCTATATTAGTTTTACTGTTGTCGCCGTTACCTTTATAACATTTATGCTGTCATAGGAAAAATCGATCGAAAATGAAGTTCTTGTTTTTTTAAATAACATATATGCACCAAACATGATATGATATCTTAGTCCAACTTGCCATTTACGAGCTTGAATATGCTTGTAACCATTCAGATAACATGAATTCATAGACGGTCTATCGCAGGAACCTACGGGATTATTTTACAAAACTAATATTCTAAGTGTACTTGGTTGACTTTCATCAATGACCTTTCATTAGTATTCCCACTTTCGTCGACCAATATATGCCGAACCAGTAAATTTGTTAATTCCATGTAAGGATATGACATCATCCCTTTCTTTTTGATGTGAAAATATAAGTTTTAGGCTGTAAGCCATGTGTTCAATACCGAATAAAACATTGACACCATCCGCCGCCTAACGGATAGAGGGTGTTAAAAATGCAATTCTGCCTGTTCTGTTATAAAATATTTAATGATAAAATTTTTCGTAGTTTTACTTGCTCTTGTTGGTAACCTTGTATCGTACGTATGTAGTACATACAAACTCCAAAACAACTGCTCCCCTTTTTTTTCCTCTAGATTATAAAACATTTGATTCTGAATAACTCTTTTTCGGGATTCAAAAATAAGATTGGAATGTATGTGGCCACAATTGAAAAGATTAAAAAAAGAAAGAAAACCAAGACCAAATTTTCATATTTATTGACTACAGGAAAATGAAGAATAATATCGACAACAATGTAATAATAATAATAATGCATTTTCTCAATTGCAATATTGTTTTTATCGTTTTGTCCATTTTCTATGGGAAGTGGGTGGAAATGACAACCACACTACACCAATAATAGGCGTGACATTTTCTGATCAACTTTTATGGCATTTAATGCAAAAATGCCAACAGATTCTGTAAAGTGACATAGCAAGGTTTAAAATGGGGTTCGTTTGTATTAAATTCGTATCTCATATTCTTCTATTCAATAAAAAATAGATATGGTTTGGAGCTTACATAATTTATATTCGTTTCAATGACGCTCGGTGCGCAGTATTTAATTTAAAAAACAAAAAAAGTATACTGTTAAGATAACGGCAGTCTGACTAGACTAATTCCGTGCAAAGCCGCATATCTGCATGTGGGCTCCGTTGATGTGTATTCGTTTTTGGCGCACACTTTGTTTTTTGGATATAAATGCAATATGCATAACGTAATATGCAGTTGGCAAAATGTTGGCTTTAGGTATTTGTAAAAATATTTTATCGGCCTCGTGCTTTTCAATATTTTTGCGTATTAAAAATGCATGTATATTCATTTTTACACCGCAGAAAAAATGGAAACAAGGGTTGCTTAAGTCGGAGGTGACCGACTAGGAGACACCCTGGGCCCAGCACCAAGCTGTCGTTACAAGCATTTAAGCTTCCTGGAAAGGAACTTTACTCTTATAACCTTGACCCGCATTTATGATCTAAGACGGGCGAATTTTGCGAAAAGTGTGAAACACGTAATAGATGAATATTTCTAGGGATCTTTGAAATTGATTTTGAAGACTATTAGATAACAACAAAAACCGTTTATAGAACAATTTTCAGTGGCGGATGGAATGTCCAAATCGCTGAAACACGTATTCATTAAGTTCTAATGTACGGCTTTAAAAATAACTTGGAAATAAACGGAAATAAACTGAAAGCTTCTTCCAAAATATCTTTGAATCGCATTTTCCACAGAGAAGGCTTGGATTTTGCGAAAAGTGTCAAATGCTTTTTTATAAAGCTTTTGGAAATGAATTTGAAAAGTCACCCACCAAATCTTTGACTCCCATTTATACCAAGGAGAAATCGATATTCCGAAAAGTGTGATACACAAATTTAATTTAATAGGATTTTGTCAAAAACAGGTGAAGAGAAGTATAAGATTGGAGTATAATACACATGTTGATTACTAGCAATAAGGTATTATCGATAGTCTGATTTGTGATTTTGAGCAGGGAAATTCGCGTTCTTAAGAACTCGTTGAAAGAAAATATAAAGTTTTTCAACTTTAAAGTATAAATTATAATAAGTATAAATTATAATAATAAATTATCAAAGAATGTATGAAAAACCAACCTGACAAATAAGTACATTTTGTGACAATGGTAAATAAAAAAGTTTCATACAAACGTTTTTCCCGATTT